ACTTTTAAAAAATAAAAATACCTTTCCCTTATCATGCATTATTCTTTTACATGTACAGTTTTCCTGACGTAGTGGAGTAATAGTCCACAGTTTGCTATGACTTGGAGGTTTATGGCCCTTCTGTGGCAGATCAGACTAAACATAATTTATTCATAGCTACTTTGTGCTCAGGGAAATAAACCCCTAAACTTAAATAACTACAGTGTGACCTCTGTTAAATATTATTTATGGTTCTAAAACTACTACTATGTAGATATCAAGATGTGCCAAATGTTATGAACCAAACACCAGTCGGCAAATGGGACGAGTATTCCATTTATTTTTGCCTTCCTTTCTGGATATTTCTCTGCAAATGTTATTTTCATTTAAGTGGATTCTGGGGTAATTACCTGGCAGAGGGAAGCAGTGTTCATTTACATTTTATTATAGAACACTACAGTGAGTAAAAATTCTCCTTTACTGAGAAGCACCACAAAAATGTAAACATTCCATTAACTCACTGCAGTTCAATAGGAAAGACATTGATTACCTTTGGGTATTAAGTAACTGTTACCATTATCAATGGATTACTGTAACCCAACTGCTATTTATTTCTGCAAATTAGTTTATGGAGGAAAACCTGGTTGCACATTGAAGTTCTCCAAATGGGAACTTTAAGCTCAGCGTTTCCATGCTGTTAAGAACATTTGTGGCCCTGGCTGGTCTGACTCGATGGTTAGAGCATCAGCCCACAGACTAAAAGGTCCTGGGTTCGATTCCCTGTCAAGGGCATGTACCTTGGTTGCGGGTTCGCTCCCACACGTGCGGGAGGCAACGAGTTGATGGTTCTCTCACATCTATGTTTCTCTCTCTCTCTCTCTCTCCCTTGAACCTCCAACTCTCTCTCTAAAAGACTGATGGAAAAAATATCCTCTGGTGAGGGTTTCAATAAATAAATAAATGAATATTTGTGCATGCCCAGCACTCCTTACTGTAAGATTTTGAAATGTTTAGGGTGTCATTTCCACATCTTGTTTGCCTTCTCAATTATTTCCTATTCATCCAACTATATTGTAAGAAATAATATGTTCAGTGGTAGTAAAGTAATGGAATTGTTGGTTTCCTAATAATTATTCAACAAATGTTTGAGGACCCACTATATGCTGGTCACTCAGCTTGGCACTGGCAATAATAAAGGTGCCTTCAAAGAACCAACAGTCCAGACAGATGAGCAAAAAGCAGTTTCTAGGCAGCGTAGTAAGTGCTGTGAGAGAGGAATGGGATACACACAAAGGGAAGGCAGACTGGGGACAGGTTGTGGAGGAGGCCAGGAGGGCTGGCAGAGGACAGAGGACACAGGACACAGACACTGAGCGTAGTCTTGAGGATGGATGGGGAGATCTGGGTGGTCAGGTGGGTGAGCAAGACCAGCACAGGCAAAGACCTAAGGGGATGTTGGGTTCAGGCCTCTTCAAATCATTCAATATGGCTGGAATTGGGGGGGGTCTTGGAGGAAACGGAGATGAAGACTTAAAACAAGGCTCACCATGAAGGTCTTGTAGGCTCTTCTAAGAAATTTAGACTTCCTCCTATAAGCTGTGCATGGACGTGAGAGATTTTAAGTTGAGGGCAACCTAATGAGAGCTGTGTTTCGGTAGCTCACTGTGGCTGGGGTGTGGAGAATGAACTGGAGCCCAGTTAGGAGGCTCCTCCAACTTCCAGATGAGAAATGACAAAGCCCCGGGCCAGAGCAGTGACAAAGAGAAAGCCGAAGGAAACTGCATTCGGGATATAGAATCACATCCAGTTTGGACTTGGCACGAAACGCGGGAGGAGGGAGGGAGGGAGGCCAGGCTTCTGGCCCGGGTGCCTGAGGGGAACACGGAGGCCGTTCCTGGAAGACGGGGGCTGGGGGAGGCAGCGAGTTTCCTGCTGACCGCACGGAGCTCATGCTGCCTGCAGGAAACCTAGGCGTGTTGCGGAGGCTGCTGGAAATGTGAGTTTGGAGAGAAGTTAGGGTGGAGATAGACGGTCTACCATTTACATGTTGCAATGTTTTTACAGATTCGTGGAAGTGAACAGGTAAAACTGGAGAAATATCACAGATCAGTTTCTTTCTTCCTTTTTTGTCTTTGCAAACTGTGTTGATATAACAGATAATTCTTAACCACCAAAGCCCTGCAGGAAAAGAATAAAAAGTATCTTACATTCCATCACTTCCTAGGAACAGGAAGTGTTGTCTTTCCCATGTTGGACTCATCAACAAAAATGGGAAATGTCTTTTACTTATTAAAATCCTACGAGGAATCAATCATGTCTTTCATTGGAAATACTCAGGCGGTCCATTTAAATTACTAGCGTTGCCACACCCAGAAGTTATGTTCTTGTTTAAAACACTACTTACTTCTAGAGAATTCTGACCCAAACTGAGGAACATAGAAAGGAATATACTTCTACTCCATCAGTCTCGATGACTTTCTAAAAGCTCATGTGTTTTGATGGGTAAGATTAATGAGACCACATGGTGTTAAGCACCTTGGACTTTCAGAACAAAGGCCTTTTAGAAGAACAAAGTATCATTATTAATGACATATCATTTACAGTTTTCATCAGCAATGTAAGGTTTCAGCCACTTTAATGGGAACTTTCATGCTCAATGCGGAGGGCAAGGCTATTAACGAAGGTTCTTGACAGTAATACCTTTGCTTCTAAGGAAAAAGATAAATCACACTCAGATTGATCAAAAAGACAAGCTGAGGGGTTCAGAAGGAGGTGAGCCACCATGGGCTTACTGGATTCCTCAAAGGCCTTGTCATCAATGAGTCCACTGGTGAGCTCTGCTCTCTGCCGTGGGCTCCCTTCACTGCCTGCCCGCCCGCCTTCTGGACACCTTGCTGGCCCAGAGAAATGCCTCATGCTCCAAACCTCACCTTTCCCTTTTATTTCCCCTCTCCTACCTTTCTACACTCCCAGTCTATTTTGGGTTTCATCGCCATAGGACTTTTTTGTTCTTTGGTGACCTGCTCAGCCACATACATGAAATAAATAAATTCTAGTGTGGGGGAGGAACAAGCTTTCCTCTACCCTTAAGGTTCTTTTGGCTGGTCTCATAATCAAATAGACATGTGGAAGATTAGAAAAATAACCAAATTGAACACATACATTTGTAGGGGAATCCCGCACACCTGAGAGAGTCATAGACCCCACATGCACGAGAGGGTCAGAGACAGAAAGGGGACAGATGTATAAGACGTCCTGAGCTCGGGGTGAGGCGAGGTGCCTGGGGGCTTCAGAGAGTCATTGCAGGTTGGGAGGAGCAGGCTTAGTAAATAGAAGTTTGCTCCGCCCTGTAGATAGGTCAAAAGAGGCCATCTCTGATCATCTCTTGTTTTTATTTTTATTTATTTTTTGTTAATTTTTATTGACTTTATGGTGTGACATTGGTTAATCAAATTATATAGGTTTCAGGTGTACATTTCTATAATACATCATCTATAACTGTATTGTGTGTTCACCACCCAAAATCAAGTCTCCTTCCGTCACCATTTATACTCCCTTTACTATCTTCTACCTCCTCCCACCCCACTTTCTCTCTGGTAATCTCATTATGGGCAAGGCCCCTAATTCAAGTTCTTTTAGATAGTTGAAAAGCTTCTTTTGAGCCAGAGGCTAAAGTTGTCTTTAGCTCAAAACAATCTGCATACAACAGAGGCACATCTTGGGGTGACTTGTTCTGAACCCCCATACTGGCTTACTGCAGTGACCTAATTTGCACAATGCCACTAATGGTGGGACTTGTAACACAGGTACCAAAACAGTGGGGAAGTATTTTTTTTCCTGAATACACATTTTTAGTCTTATTAAGGCAATTATGGCAGGCGGCTGTATATAGTCAATGCTGTTAACATTGTTGCCAATTCTTTACACAAGGTGCTGCTCTCATGTAGGATCTCCTTAGGATCTCAATGTGTTTCAGTCACATTCACTAGGGCCTTCTTAATGACACTTTAAAGACTACTGTTTTTGTTGCAGGGAAATTAAGAAAAATTCTCCTGAGGGGGGAATTAAAGTTAAATTTTTAAAAAAAATTTGTTATCTAAAATCAGTCAGCTATGTTTTAGCTAAAGAAAAAAAATCTGGAATGCAAAGAAATGCCTGATAAAAATAAAGAAGGAATTTACTATTATTACCGGAACTGATGACTTATATCCAAGGGCATGTAAGGAATTGATGACATTGCAGCTCTAGCAATAACTCTTTGAGAATTTATGATTGTTGAGAGTGCCAATGACAAGAAGAGAGCAATGGATTAAAGTGAAGCAGAAGTGCTGTGGTTATATATTGTGAAGTAATATTTGTTACTAAAGGAACTCCCAGACTATTATTCTGCCTCTGATTTTTAACAGTTGCATAGTTAGCAAACTGTTTAATTGACTTGATTCTAGAGATACCTGGAAAAATCTTTCTTATGTTATTCCCTTTTGGGAGCTCCCACTGGCCACATTAGCTTCTCTTTTGTGTTTTATTTTATCAAGATAGATCAAAGTACATTTCCAGTCCAACTGTTGAGCTTCACTCTTTTCTTTCTCACCCCAGAAGACAGATTAAGGTAGGACACATTTACTGGACAACAGAATGCAAGCCCAGCTAGAATCCTGAGATTTCAAACAAAATGCTAACAGCACAGGAAAATGTTTCACATTTTTGTTTTTAAGGCTTCCGAGGCATTGTACAAAATACCTGACAAATAATTGCAATTCAGAACTTGAGTGAATGCAGAAATGAAGAAGACTGCTACAGTCACATTCATTAATTTTAATACTAAATCTATTTTTTAAATTGACCACCTTTTACCTAATTCAAACAATAGTTGAAGGTCACCTAACTCATACTAGATGTTGATGCTGAGATGAGTTGAAATTGCTTTAGGAAGTCAGCACTGAATGACTGAGTTCACTCTGAGCCCCATTCTCAAAGATGATTTTCTTGCTGCAGTATTAAGCCTGCTAATAATAAGTGAGCAGAGAGGTTGGTACTGTTTGTGCCTTTAAGATCATAGTTCGAAAGCATTTAACAAATGCGATAACAAAGATAAAACAAACATAACCTTTATTCTCTTTCAAAAACCCAGAGATAGGGCCTGGAACCTTACTCATTGCTTTAATCGGATACCTTACATTTTGCAGTCTCACTTAAAACTTTATAGCAATAGACTGGATACTGTACAAATGACAGCAAAAAACATGATTGTTCTCAACTACATAGTAAAACAATGTAACAAGTTCTCTTATCCGGCATAAAGAAGGGCTAGGCTAGTGATCTGCTGAATCAAACATTCATAATAAATAAAAATTACTCTCTATAATGATCATAGTTTCATAGTCTAAAATCACAAAGTGCAATCTGACAATAAAATTGTGTCATCTTCAGGCATTCAGAAGCCAACACACTGGAATTGCTAAAACATTTTTTAGTTTATGCAAGTAGTGGAACAGACACCACAGTACCAAAGATCTGACCAGATGGCATGAACATTCATGCTGTCCACCAATTATTAATTTTTAAAGAACTAGAGTAAAAGAAAATTAATGTAAAATACTCATTACAATTCAGAATTTCTTTGACTGCTTAAAAGGAAAATACTTCAAGGTCTTGCACTGCCTCACGGGCCTGAGCAAAGACAGTAGTAACTGGAAAGTAGCTGTGTAGAGAGCAGGCACTGGAGAAATCTGTTGGCCACATGACCATATAACTTGTTTGCTTTCAGCAAATGAACTGGTTAAGATGATACCATTTGGTGTTTTAAAGTTTTAAAACTTGTGTTTTTTTTGTTTTGTTTTTTTAAAATTCTATTGCTTCTTAGAATAACTTTGTATATATTAGGATAATTTTAGAGTAGTTAGAGTTTAACATTATCTCAAATGTTCAAATAATTCTTAAGATTCTATTTTATGTATAAGACTATATTCCTTAGCATTCATTTAGACATATTATTAGGAACCAACAAACTTCATCTGAGAGCACAGATTTAAAAGTTTTTGTTTTGTTTTTTAGCCCTTTCTCTTTAAGCATAAAAATAATCCAGATGACACAGAGGACGGAGCTGGGACTCAGGAGACACAGATAAGATTTAGGAAGATCCCTTTCCCTCTAAGATCCCTTCCAGCTATCTAATTCTACGATGAAAACATTCCCTTCTGTGTTCAAGGAGGAGTGCTAGACCAAACCTGCAGCACTGATTGGGACTGACCCTGGGAATAAAGGACTACCTGAAAAACCAGACTCGGGTCACTGCTTCAGGCCCAGCCTCAGACTCAAGAGGAAACTGGGAAACAATTAGTAATCTACTTGTTTCCTGGCTCAGGACAGTGATTCCCCAGTTTAAGGGGATGCAGGAAGAATTTCCAGACAGGCTTGTTAAAATGCAGCTTCAAGGGTCTCTCCCCAGCCTTATTGTATCAGAACCTCTGGGGATGGTGCCTCCTAATCTACCCACATTTTAAACAAACATGGCCTCTCCCACCCCCTCATACCTCAGCAAGTTATTTGTGGGCTTCACTCTCTATCCCACCCCCCAGGCCAGCCAAAAGAAAAAATAAAAGAAACAAGAAAACCACTGTAGCAGTGGTAAATGCTCCGGAATCGGAGTGGGGAGCCAAGGAGTAGCTGCCTGATCTTGAGTGAGTTGTTTAACAGCTCTAGGTCTCTCCATTAAATGGATGGAAAGGAGTCTCCACCGTCCCTCTGTTCTCAAATGCTGTGGAACCTGAAGAAGCCAACCGGTCAGTCGTGAAGGAGATGGGGGGGATTTTTCAAGGCTGTCACCCTCGGTAGCCCCAACATCCCAGCAAGAGTCTGGGGCATAATTATTCTCTGGTCCCCTCATCCAGAGGGGAGGCTAGGATGGCACTGGGTGCGGGGCGAAGGGGGGAGGCCAGGAGGAGCTTGCAGGAGAGTTTTGACAAGCAGCAGGACGGAGGCTTCGAAGGCAGGAGTCACTCCTGGTCGTCGGCCTCGTCGCTCTGGTCCTGGTAGCGAATGTAGACGACCAGCATGACAAAGCCCGTGAGGATGCAGAGGGACCCGACGACCAGGTAGGCGATGCCCAGGAAGGGGTTCTTGCCTCCCATCCACGAGATGCTGCTCAGGATGATGCGCTTGTGGCCGCCGAAGGCGCGCACGGGGTAGTTGTAGGTGATGTTGAGGCGGTAGGCGCCGCGCGGCAGCCCCGCCGAGTAGTTGCCCTGGCGGATGCGCGCGTACAGCTTGCGGAACCAGGGCAGCGCGGCCGTGCGCATCCACACCACGAAGTCCTGGTTGACGAAGCCGGTGTTGTTGGGGTCGGGGCTGAGCAAGTAGACGGGCCGGGGCCAGTTGGGCGGGCGCGCGGTGCCCTGGAAGGCCAGCGCCAGGCTGCCGTTCACCAGCGGTGGGTTGTGGAACTTGACGTGGTAGTCGGTCCACCAGGCGATGCCCGTGCGGTCGAGCGGCACCTCGACGTAGGGCCCGCCGGGCAGGCGCTGGTGCCACAGCGAGAAGGTGTCGTTGAAGAGGCTGTTGGCGATGGCGCCGCAGGGCGCGATGGGCAGGCCGGCGGGGCTGCGCTGGTACGGGGCGCACTCGTTGGCCGGGTGGCGCAGCGCGCTCGGCAGCCCGCTCAGCTGCGCGTCGTCGCGGGACACGCCGTAGCGCCGGTTGTTCTGGTAGAAGTTGGTGAGCTCGTAGTAGAGGTACACGGGCCCCGGGAAGAGCTCGGACAGCGAGAAGTACCAGGCGCACGGGCAGCTGGGCGGCGGCGCGCGGTCCTGGTCGGCCACGCCGCACAGCGAGCAGTTGCCGGAGCCCGGGTTGCCCGTGTAGTCGTACCCGAGCTCCTTGATGCCGTTGGAGGAGTAGTAGAGGCCCAGGCCCAGGCCGATGAAGGCCAGCCCCGCGCAGAAGAAGAGCGGCAGCGTGATGCTGGCCGACAGCAGCGGCTGCCAGGCGGGGAGGCGCTGCTGCGTGAACGCGGTGTTGTCGGGCTGGTGCGCGCCCCGCGCCGTGGCGCTCC